AAAAAAAAAAAAAATCTGCATACTAGGGTGGCGCCTGTGGCTCAGTGGGTAGGGCACTGGCCCCATATACCAAGGGTTGTGGGTTCGAACCCGGCCCCATCCAGCTGTTGTTGTGGCAGGTGCCTGTTGTCCTAGGTACTCGGGAGGCTGAGGCAAAAGAATCACTTAAGCCCAAGAGTTGGAGGTTGCTGTAAGCTGTGATGTCACGGTACTCTACCGAGGGCAACAGAGTGAGACTCTGTCTCAAAAAAAAAAAAAGATCTGCATACTATACAGTACTACTCAGCCATAAAAAGGATAAATTAATGCCTTTTGCAGAAATTTTGAAGGAACTAGAGACCACTATCCTAAGTGACATATCTCAAGAATGGAAAAACAAAAGACTCAAAAAAAAAAAATGGAAAAACAAACATATATGTAGTCTCTAATAGATTGGAACTAACCGATGGGCATACACGTGCATACAGAGAAAAGTAGAAATCACTGGAAATCAAGTGGGGGGAGGAGTGTGAAGGAAGGGGGCAAAAATCCACCTAACAGGTACAGTGAACACCATTTGGGCAATGGGTACATTTATTTTTTTATTTTTTTGAAACAGAGTCTCACTATGTTGTCCTTGGTAGAGTGCCGTGGGGGTCACAGCTCACAGCAACCTCAAACTCTTGGGCTTAAGCGATTTTCTTGCCTCAGCCTCCCAAGTAGCTAGGACTACAGAAGCCTGCCACAATGCCCAGCTATTTTTTGTTGTAGTTGCCATTGTTGTTTAGCTGTTCTGGGCCACATTTGAACCTGCCACCCTCAGTGTGTGTGGCTGGCTCCATAACCACTGTGCTATGGGTACCGAGCCAATTCTTAGGCTTTTTTTTGTTGTTGCAGTTGTCATTGTTGTTTTAGCTGGCTCAGGCGAGATTCAAACCCACCAGCCTCAGCGTATGTGACCAGCGCCCTACCCACTGAGCTACGCAGCCGCAATGGGTACATTTATATTCCTGACTCAAGCCATGTATCAAAAATATCTGTATCCCCTTGATATTTTCTTTTCTGATTAACTTTAGGGCACAGATGATTAGGTTACATTGTTTGTGATTGTTAGGTAAAGTTCGAGTTGTAGTTGAGCCCTTCACCCAAGGGTGTGCTATGTATACCCTTACATAGTGACCATTAGGTGAGAGCTTACAAATCCCTGTCTATTCTTCCTCCCTCTTGTCTGATAGCTGTTAATAAGAAACTGAGGAAGGCTCAGGATTTTGTTTCTTTACTGTGAATTTGATAGTGAAAAGTTTAACCTCTTTCACTTCAAGTGTACAGAGGGAAGTTGTACACGTGTATGTTAACTCTGAAAACTCTTAGAAGATGCTGTATAGTCCAGCAGACAACACAATTCTAGCAGTGATGCTTCCAGGACCCCTTTCTGGTCACATTTCACTCTGCAATGTGCACAAAGGTCAATGGCAAGATTCAAAAGTGACTTTGACTCAGTCACTCACTACATGGACACAATAGTCTGCTTACTTACACCTCCCACAAAGCTTCATCAGTAACCTCAGTAAGTTTGTAAAATTTGAGAAGGAACAACATTAGAGCTTAAAAAAATTTTATTTATTGGGCGGCGCCTATGGCTCAGTGGGTAGGGCCAGCCCCATATACCAAGGGTGGCGGGTTCAAACCCGGCCCTGGCCAAACTGCAACGACAACAACAACAACAAAATAGCTGGGCATTGTGGCGGGAGTCTGTGGTCCCACATACTTGGGAAGCTGAGGCAAGATAATTGCCTAAGCCTGGAAGTTGGAGATTGCTGTGAGCAGTGTGACGCCATGGCACTCTACCAACGGCAATAAAGTGAGACTCTGTCTCTACAAAAAAAAAATGTAGACCTCAAAAACATGTTGAGATCATTAGTCATTTTTCATGGAGGGTGTCACATCCCCTTCACAAGGTATGGCAGTAAATTTACAGGACTGTAAATACCTTGTGAAGGAGAACTGGACCTTTCATTATATCTCTATGGCTCCTAGTCCAGGGCCTTGCACAGGAAAAACACTCCACAAATATCAAAATTTTGGCTATTCAACTTTCTTAATGAAATCAAACAACTTAATTAAAATGATGGAATTCTAATTCCATGGCTCTCCTTCCCTAACCTAACTCTTCCAAAAGAATGAGGATCTGCCTATTGAATGGTATTATGCCTTTAGC